CCTTAAGTCTTGTATGAACATATAGATTTCCTGTAATAACATAACATAACTTTATAATGCAATGTTGTTTTATAAATTATATTTTATCTTAAAATTTGCTTTACAGATCCAAGTTTAATGGAAGTCTATTTTAATGATGACTGTACTTCAGACAATAAATGTGCAGATCAAATTTCCATACAAAATGAAACGACATGTAATATATTATGTGTTTATTATAAAGAAATATATCTTGAAGTATTTCTAGATGTTTCCAACTTTTCTATTCTTTCACAATTACTTAATTTTTCGTTATTAACACAGCCACACAAAAAAAAAATTTTTTTTGGCCCAGGGGTCTGACTATGTTTACTGTATGTTTTGGGGGTCCCTGAATCCGAATCCAAGGTCAGATTGACCCCATCACGTCAGGATTTTGCTATAACCTCAAAAAACCCTATAATCAACGCTGTTTAGCCCTGTGACGTTGTTACTCATGCTTTAAACTAAAAAACCAATCTGTTAATCCACATAAACCCATAACCCTTCAACTCCATAACCATCAACCCTATAATCCCGTAACCCCAAAACCCCATAACCCCATAACTCCATAACCCTGTAACCAAAAAAATAAATAAATCATCACAGGCAATTTGCATTATGGCAATTTCTCAGTTGTTGTAGATTCCGTAAACCCATTTCATTAAACCAAATAACCCCATAACCCCAATAAATCCATAACAGCTTTTATAGATTCGCTTTTTTACTCTATTCATCCACTTGTAGTTTTGTATAAGAAACAGACTATAATTATAGTTTGCCCATGAGAGAATCAATCAGCTTCGTCTTTAACTTAAATCATGATATGTAATGGCAAATTTACTATCCAATCCTTCCGAAGTATTTTTCTTCCTTTTCGATCATACAATTTTCTTGAAAAATTCTGTTTGCAAATACCTAAAGTTTATATAGCTTTTGAAAAAATTCATGGTACTTCTTTATTCCAAATATTCTTCTTGCGTGTGTCTGCATCCAGGGCACCTCCTCGCGGTGACGGTGGGCAACGGAGTGAGCCCGTTATCCGGCTAAGTCCCTGAATTACGGCTTCCATGCCGTCATGGCAAGCGCACGCAAGCGTTTTACGATGCAGAGGGTCGGATCCTCAGTATCGGCGGCTGATCAGAGTGGGAAAGCGGGCTCGCAGTCGTCGTCATCATACGACCGCAGCTCTACATTGGTTGGTGACTTGGCCAATGTAGAGTTCAAAGCTACAAGAAAAAAAAGCAAAATCGACGTGCCAGTTCATAAATGTGAATCTGATCGAAATATTTTTTGCTACGTGTGCTTGAAATTCGAAACGAGCTCTTTGCGAAAAGTCATCGATGATGATATTCGCGAGACGTATGAAGACATTTTCAGTTTGAAAATAGATGAAGTTGGCATTAAAAACTGGGCTCCCAATATAATATGCAATTGTTGTCGAAAAATGTTCAACGCTTGGAAGCAGGACCAAAGGAGGCATAACATCAAGTTTTCCACCCCCACAATATGGAAACGTCCTCAAAGTGCAAATGATTGTTTTTTCTGCTGCAATAAAATGAAGGGTTTCAACACTAAAAATAAAGGCAAAATTGTGTATAACATAGTCACCTCTGTAGTAGCGCCAGTTACAGTTGTTAAGGACAACAGCGATAAAAGAGATGCCACTGAAAATTTACCCGAGGAGATGGATGAAATAATGGATATCGATAAAATATTGGAAGTTGAATCCGCATCTGAGATTGATGACGAAGAAGATAGTGACGAGTATTTTGCTTCAAGTACTAATAAAACATTAGTCCCATCATTAATATCCCAGTCGGAATTGAATGATCTTGTGCGTGATTTGGGATTACCGAAAGATGGTTCTGAATATTTAGCGTCCTTTTTAAAAGGAAAAAATTTATTGGAACCCA